GACGGTGTCATCCCAACAGTTGAAGGTACCACGAAAGAGGCAGCCGATGGCAAGACTCTGGCGACGCCGAAACGTCGTGCAGGGAGGCCGAAAGGTGCAAAAAACAAGCGCTCACCTACTCCCGAGGGAGAATTGCCGGCACATGAGCGATATTTCTTCCAGAACAGAGCCGGCCCTCCGCGAACGTCAAATAATACGCTCAACAAAGTGAATCTCCTGACGCACGAGGAGTATTTTGAGAAGTTGGCCGGATATACGGACCCTTGCCAGAAGGAGAAAAACTTTCTGCTAGACCTGCATTGTCGGTCCTTTCCGCAGTGGGATTTTGAGTTCAATCAAGGCTTCAACATCTGCCTCTACGGTTACGGCTCGAAGCGTCAGCTTCTCAATGATTTTGCAGACTGGCTCTACCAGAGACACAGCGCCTCGCCTCCCTCTATAGTCGTCGTGAATGGTCATACTCCGAACCTGTCAATTCGGTCTATCTTCGCCACCATTGTGACCGCTGTTCTGGGTGCAGACATTCCATCGAAGATGGGGTCTCAGCCACTAGAGGTATTAGAATTGTTGCAGTCTAGCCTCAAGTCTCGACCATCCCAGAAACCAATCACCGTACTGATCAATGCGATCGACGCCCCTCCCCTCCGCCGAGCAACGAACCAAGCCCTCCTTGCGCGGTTGGCTGCGACCCCAAAGATCCATTTGCTTGTCACCGCAGACACTCCGAATTTCTTGCTGATGTGGGATATCAGCCTTCGAGATCATTTCAATTTCGTTTTCCACGACTGCACAACATTTGCCGCTTTCGATACCGAGTTTGATGTTGTGGAAGAGGTTCACAACCTGCTTGGGCGCAAGGGCCGTCGAATTGGTGGTAAAGATGGTGTTGGCTTCGTGTTGAAGAGTCTTCCGGAGAACGCGCGGAACCTCTATCGACTGCTTCTCACTGAACTGCTGTGTATGATGGACGAAGATCACAATTCGGATGATGAGATGGACGGCCATGCAGGAAGAGAAGACGGGGTCAACGATGAGACGGGCATTGAATTCCGCATGCTCTACCAGAAGGCTGCCGAGGAGTTCATTGCATCGTCCGAAATGATGTTCCGAACACTGTTGAAGGAATTCCATGACCATCAGATGATCACATCGCGGATGGACTCGAGCGGAATGGAATTACTAGGAGTACCCTTGTCGCGAGAAGAAATGGAGGGGGTCCTGGAAGACCTGGTATTGGGGTGATGGATGAGATAAGATATAATGTGGTGTCTTTGCATAAATCATGATACCCCTGTATAGCACTGTATATCACAATTGAGGGACATAACTGATGAAGCCCATTTCGAAGGCTCTGCTCAAACACCAAGCCGTCCAGTTTTCTCTTCCTGAGTATTTTACACAATGCGAGTCCGGTCAAGAAAACCTCGGTCGTCCGATATGTTTGTTCTTGCATTTAGAACTGCGCAAACGCAGCCAGTGCCATCGTGGCCCCAAAACTCATCTTGAACGGCATATGCTGCGTCACAGCCTTCTGCACATCCACCGACTTGACATACTTCTGTATCGTCCGAACAGGGAGGATATTGTATCCTTTCGAAGCAGCCCACTACATCCCACCTCCTGTTAGCACCATCTACAACACCAGTAACACAATGTCCGCAGGATCCGCATACCTCAACGAGGACAATCCCCATTCCCAGCAGCACGACCAACGCTCTCGAGAACGCCCTCAATCCCACCCCCACTACAAGCCCAAGCACACTTCCCAAGCTCACCTGGCGCATATTGGAAGCGGTCAGGATACCGGATGCCGTGCGGGGGCCTGTCCGCCCCTGCTTGGCGATGGCCGGGTCATTGCGGTCGAGTGTCCAGCCGGATTCCGAGCTGGTTTGCGAGTCGACTCTGTAGTATGGAGCGGAGTATTGGCATTGCATTGGGGAAGCACGGAATGGGGACAAGGGGTGTAGGGAGAGGGACAGGCCGAGACCGACCCCGAGGACGGTGGAGGTTCGAGCGAAACCGCTTAGAAGACCGGATGCCATGTTTTCGTATCTGTGAGGTGGAGTTGTACAGTTGTAACAGATTGATGGTCTAGATGTGTATACAAAAGCAGATGAATTGGGAGTCAGGATCCTTGTTGAATGAAGCTGGAGTGTTCGCGTCGGCATGCGGAGATGGAGGAGACATTATTGTGACGTCAATGGGCGGTCAGCTTCTAGCTAACGGTATTCGGAGATGAGGCGACTCTACTCAGATATCCAGGGGTTAATGCTTCTTAATTGTCTATCTGACCAGCAGTATTGCATCGATTCATGATCTCAGAAGAGGATGTTACTGTGAGATGCCATGGTTACTAATGAGAAATGGACGACGTGAGCTGTTGATCATAGGATAATATTTGCGTCCAAGGGGAAGGTAGCTATCACGCAACGAACGTAATGTCCATATCTTCCGTAGCACTCAACTCCCCTCAATGAGGACCACTATGAAGCCTGAAGAACTAAGCTTCAGTCCGCTGGTATCATGGTTGTTGGGTCATATCACTCCTCCTCAACATGCACCTGATAAGAATATCAGATGCAGGATTACTAAGGTAATATAACGTAACTAATCGGTAAGCGAGTCGGCCACGTAAGCGAGTCGGCCACCCGGTCAAGGCATATCCTAGAATTCTGATTTACATACAAAAAAGGAAGTTATTCCACGTTAATCTAACCATTAAAACGCGCTGAATTCAGGCAGCTACTCGATTAGGACATCTTGTACGTATATGTCCTAAAACACCACACATACTGCACCGAGGTGGTGCCCGACGGCGTGGTTGATCATCTCCAGGCCCTGTATCACCAGCTGCTTCCTCTAAGGCCTGAACATGGTTGAATGCCTCAAGTGCTTCCTGGATTGTGAAGCCATTCAAACCATTCATTTGGTGTTGGTTACGCTTCTGCTTATTCTTTCGTCTCTCAATGGCCTGGTGAAGTTGAAGGTTTTCATGTTCAAGAAGAATAGCACGGTTCAAGGCTATCTCTGCACCTTTACAGATGTAAGATATTGCTGTCTGTATTGGTGAGGTAGGAGGGTTTGTTTGAAGTAATTGAGAGATCACCGACTCATGCTTTTTGAATTGATTCAAATTTATCGGTGTTTTGGTAATCGTAGATGTAGTGCCTTGACTGCTGGGACGGCTGTCTTCCTTGTAAAAGATGAGGCTATCCAGAACCTGGTTAGGATTAAAAGGGACTAATCCTGAGGCTCTAAAAGCACTCTGTATATCCATCTTCTTGAAGGCTTGGGCGTGGGCTTCTGGGTAGACGTCAAGAAAGTCAACCTTATCAATATGGTGATATCCTGTTCGTACAAGCCGTTCAATGAGGTTACTGTAAGCTCGTTTCAATGGTGAGAAACAGGCCACATCCAAAGGTTGACAGAGATGTGAGGAATTTGCAGGCATGCAAATAGGAATAATATCATTTTGACGACATATATCATCAAATTGAGGTGTTAAATGAGAGTCATGCCCATCAAGAACTAAGAGGCTATATTGGCCAGTTCTTCGGTCCTTAATATAAGGAATAAAGTGTTCTTTGAGCCAGTGTTCACCAATTTCTCGTGTTGTCCATCCATTTGATGATATAGCAATTCTCCATGAAGCTGGAGTATTACCTTCATACCAGGCCTGAATATGAGTCTTTGCTTTCAACACTAAGTATGCTGGTAATGCCCATCCGGAGGCGTTGATACACTCAATTGAAGTTATCCATTCTCGATTTCCCGGTTGTATAAGAAAGGGCCTTCCTTCACAGGATGATCGTGTGATTACCTTCGCGGTAGCCACCAGGCCCATAGCAAAGCCGGTTTCATCAAAATTGTAGATATCTTCATTAGCGATACCATAAGTTGATATAGCGGCTTGCACGCGTTTGAACCAGGCTTGAAGAACTTCAGGATCCTCGCATTTCGCCCGTTTATAATTGATTTGACGACTAAACCGACTTTTCAAGGAATCATGGCGGGAAATGAAGTTATATACCCATTTCTCTCCCACTGAGGAAGTTGTATCTTGACCACGTTGTTGGATCAATATTGTAGCCATTTCACGGACCTGGAAGTGCCTTGGCGGTGCACCACGTTGATCTAATGAGAGAATCCATTTAATAAGTGATTCTTCCTCTATAGGAGTCAACTTATGGGAATTGGCGCGGGTTTCCTTGCGAAATTTGATTCCATTCAAACGATCTTGAAGTGTTGACCGGGGAACTTCAAAGACACGAGCAGCTTCACGAACTGATTTGATTTGGCCATTCTGAATAGCCTTAACTGCTAAGGAGATCCTCCCCTCTCGTTCCACCAAGGATTTTGATGATTTGGGCATTTTTCGTGGTGATATGGATGGCTGAATAGCCTTGGTTTCAAAGGGGTGGTGATTCTTGATGGGGGTGGCCGACTCGCTTACGTGGCCGACTCGCTTACGTGGCCGACTCGCTTACCGAATACGTTATGCAGCTTGGCAGTTAGTTCGAGACCATCTGATATTACCAAAAAATACCATGGCGATAGAGTTTTCGTAAAAGCCAATCCTTGGCGTTTCCAGCTGTTCCTGACGGTTTCAGGCCAAGTCCGCGGGAAACCGCCCACCAAGCGGCGTTTTTGCAGATTGGCAGATTTACGCTGGAAACTTACTGGGGAGATGGAGGGGCACAAGCACTGTGATTGGTTTACAAAGCCGCGGCCGGATGGAACGAGGACATAATTCGGCGGGGACATGAAAGTGTGGGTGATCGATACGGGAATTTTGGTTCTTCGGAGGCGACAAGGCCGTAACGGTCGAGGTTAGTAGTTATCTTGACTCACACTCACAGGGTCCGTCTTCGGTCTTCTTAAGAACTCGATTTTGCTGGGGCTTTTTTCCCCCCTCTCTCCTTTCTACTGTTTCTCGTACCTATTTCTATACTCATTCTTTCAGTTCTCTTAGTACCACCTTTCCCTCCTAAATACACACAATGGCTTCCAACGGTACCAATGGCGCCTCCGCCTCCAACAGCTTCACTGTGAAGGCCGGTTTGGCTCAGATGCTGAAGGGTGGTGTGATTATGGACGTCGTCAACGCGGAGCAGGTATGAGCGATTGTCAACAGGATACTTCTAGCCCTTCGATGCTAATGTGACTTCCACAACAGGCCCGCATTGCGGAGGAGGCCGGTGCCGCTGCCGTGATGGCCCTGGAGAGAGTCCCCGCCGACATCAGAGCCCAGGGTGGCGTTGCCCGCATGTCCGACCCCAGCATGATCAAGGAGATCATGGCTGCTGTCACCATTCCTGTCATGGCCAAGGCTCGTATCGGACACTTTGTTGAGTGCCAGGTAAGGCTGCCTTTCTCCCGTGGAAAACCTGCCTCGCAGCTAACATGTGTAATTGTTAGATCCTCGAAGCCATTGGCGTTGACTACATCGACGAGTCCGAAGTCCTTACCCCTGCCGATGATGTTTACCACGTGAAGAAGCACGACTACAAGGTTCCTTTCGTCTGTGGTTGCCGCAACCTGGGTGAGGCCCTCCGTCGTATCGCCGAGGGTGCCGCTATGATCCGTACTAAGGGTGAGGCCGGCACCGGAGACGTTGTTGAAGCCGTCAAGCACATGCGCACGGTCAACTCCCAGATCGCCCGCGCCCGCTCCATCCTCCAGAACTCCACCGACCCCGAGATTGAGCTCCGTGCCTACGCTCGTGAGCTTGAGGTCCCTTATGAGCTTCTGCGTGAGACCGCCGAGAAGGGCCGTCTTCCCGTTGTTAACTTCGCTGCCGGCGGTGTTGCCACTCCCGCTGATGCCGCACTCATGATGCAGCTGGGCTGCGACGGAGTGTTCGTCGGCTCCGGTATCTTCAAGTCTGGTGATGCGAAGAAGCGCGCCAAGGCTATCGTCCAGGCCGTGACTCACTACAAGGACCCCAAGGTCCTCGCCGAAGTCAGCGAGGGTTTGGGTGAGGCCATGGTTGGTATCAATGTCTCTCAGATGCCTGAGGCCGACCGATTGGCCAAGAGAGGATGGTAATTGCACTACTGTCTCTACCTGTGATTCTTCTTATGTTCTTGTCATGATATGGGCGTTGGAAAAGTTGATATAGCGTTCTTTGATGCATTTTGCATTCAAGACTTTCAGGTTCATTATTGCTAGGGTGTTCCGTGCATTCATCCTTAATCATGTAGACACGCACAGGATTGATGAAGAAGTACTCTAATTCAATGACGAGCTCTTCCATGAAGAACAAAAACTGAAAATCGGTCATGTCACCGTCCAGCGCACACGGCATTTTACCCTTACCCCACCGGCACTTGTTCCCGCTGTCGATCATGCGGATGCTGCGACTGGTGGTGCTAATCTGCTTGAAGACGCGGCGAATAGTATCACCAAAATAATATACTCATTTTGCGAAGATATTTTATACCTGATATTCAATTCCGAACTCTAAGATCACTATTCAATTGACGGCGCTTATGCTGGGTGTCCCAGATAAATGTGCAAGGTACACATCCTGCGGAGTACGATCGGCGACTCCAAAGGTCACACCGGTAAGATACACATGTTTATTTCAAACGCAGAAATTGAATTCACACCCTGACAGTACGATAAGACAGTCTAACCCAAATAGGCAATCCTCTCTGACCTCCATGTCATCATTCGACGCGAACGACATCGAAACCGTGAAATGAAGAACAAGAGCCCTCGACGGACGAAATTTTATCATGACGGACCCAATGCTGGATCTTGTATCTCGACCAGATTCCCAATTCGATGACGAGGAGCACCTCAAGTCACAGAATCAGGAGAAACAGCCCAAGCAAGAACAGCTGGAGAATGGAAAGCAAGAGCATGCAGCCTCAGCTCCAACGCCAAAACCACACAATCTTTTACCGAATACCTTCACGATAAGTGGGGAATATGAGGACAACAATATGAATCCGATCCTTTCGTCTGTTCTCGTCGTCCTCTACTCCATCCTCCCTCCCCATCTCCGCGCAGCGATCCTCGAGACTGCGCTCACGCATCCGCTGCTCACGACCTTCTTCCTCTGCCAGTTTGTCTGCTCATGTATTCCGGTCATAATCTTTCTGATTGGGGCTACGATTGCGGGTGCTATAGCGGTGGTGGTGTTTAGCTGTTTTGCGCTGTTGGTGCTGGGGCCTGTCCTGGTTGCGACGACCGTCACGGGCCTGTTTCTGTGGGGGTGGGGGTGGGTGACGTTTGTGGTTGGCAGGTGGTTGGTGAGGCAGTATTTGAGCGAAGATGGGGATGGAGAGAAGGATCGTGCACGGGATGGGGTGAATGGATTCAATGAATACGATGCGGAGAAAGTTAAGGAGGAATCGGCTTGAAGATCCTATTCTATTGGAGTGCAGGGCTGTTTGTATTACGGCTAAACTGTTGCTTAAGTTCTTGTATGATTGTGTCATGCTGGATACGATTAGATTGGGCTAATGCTTGATAGAAACTGGAATATTACCACCATGTCATTGAATCCAGCAGTCACAGCGAACGCCATCACAGCCTCTGACTTTCCGCCCATTCCACCCATCTTCTGATACACTCATCCACCCGTTTCAGCGCTTGTTTATCGGCTGGAACCTCGAACCACTCCCGATGCTCTTTCCCACACTCCTGACATCGTCCCAGGTCCCGAACCCTGACATCTCCCAGCTCGAGGTGAATCAGTCGTTCCACGCGATGGACATGAGGGACTTTCCTCCCCAGCTCTGAAGCGGCAGAACCATTCCCCCGATTTTCTCCAGACTGCAATCGAACCGGCGACGGCGTCGAGGATGTATACGGGTAGTAACGGATCAGAGTCAGATGATGCGAACACTGTCTCGACCATTCATTCAGACGGCGCTGCACGTTACTCGTCCGGCCAATCTTCAGGCGGATAGTACCAGATGCCTGGCTGGTCGGTTTGGAGGTTAGCGCATTCATCTCGCGCGCTGTCTTGAGTGCGTCGCTGACGCGGCGACCGTGCCCTGGTCTGTGGGCTTCCGGAACGAGCGATCTGGCGACTTCAGCGGGAGGCGGCGATGACGTGGAGCTCGACGGCGTCACCCAGAACATGTATATGTAGCCCGGTTCATCCGCTTCGGAGATGGGCTTCGCCAGCTCCGTGAGCAGGGCAGATGTTGTTTGCGGGGTTAGTGTTGGAGGAATCCATGCGAGGAGTGTCGTCGTATGTGACGAGGAAGACGCCGGGCTACTTTGCAGCGATGGTCGGTGGGAAGCCGGCCGAGGCGAGAGTAATGTCGACTGTGATGATGGTTTCTGGCCCGGCGGCTTAGGTCGTCCTGGATAAGAGGCGGACGAGACCTGCTGCATCGGCCGCGACGGACGGGCATCTGCCGTCGAGCTCACTGTCACAGGCCTCGGAGGCCGCTCGTTCTCGACGTCTTCCACGATCTCGAAGCAGCAACATACAGTCCGCTTTTTTGGCTTGCGGCGTTGGTGCGGCGCCGGTTTCGCTTGTGGGTCGTTGATCTCCAGAACGCCCAGCCGGTCCATCAGAGTGTCAATGCTTGTTCGCGGCTTCGGCCGTGGGTGTTGTGAGGGGCGTGTTGATCCCGGGTTATTCGACACTGTTGCTTGATCTTTGTGCTGCCAGCAGTACATGGAAGCCGAAGCTGTGCCTTTTTGCGGTCCTGTGGAGGCAGCTAGGGCACGACGACATGGTCGGCCATTTGAGGTCACGCCTCTGCATGTCGTGGCTGGATCTAGTGAATCCGAGCGGGACAGCTTGGACTCGGGTGTGTTTGCGATATGAGGCATATTGTATTATTATCGCGGTTCTCTTGTTCCTCGAATCTCGTGGACACAGCGATGCCTCGAGAAGTATGAGATGAGATGATTGTTGATAAACGACTAAGCGCCAGTGGCACTTATTCTCCCGAGTGTCTTATTCCCGCTCTATCAGCCGGGGAGTGCCACTTGGTCGAACGGATCAGGCCGATGAAGTCTGAGTAGTTAATTGTCTCAGGAAAGTATGAAACGCGGACGAATCGATTTTATCGGCCCAGCTATCTACGAGTAGCTGCTAACAACCTAACAAGCTAAGACATGTATTTGCACCGCCCCAGTGGCTGGAGTCTGCGCCGCGCTGTCCATCTCGACCCACATGAGGAGAAACAACAAATGGAATCACCAATACCAGCAGAGTGAGTGGATTTTGTAGGTGTTGGCTGTTCCACTGCAGATATCGGTCCATCCCCTGATCAAATATCCACGAATCCCATAGCCACAGCGAGAGCAACGAGCCACTGGTCGATGGATCCCTTGCGGCGTACTCACCGTCCTATCGTTACCATAATTAGAAACTCGCCCACCAACGATAAAAGACCAAACAAGCCTCACTTTGGAATCGAATGCTTGACAGACAGTCGCGAGTACTCCGTAGTCGAGGTTCTTTCCTAAAGGGTATCGACCAAATGTGCACCCTGATTGTCATTAACCAATGTAATCAAAGCCTGCTCCACGACATTTGATCCAAAAGCCACGTGCTAGCTGGTTCGTGTGCGCTCTGATACCTCTAGCGGCTATAAGGGACGAAACCAACCGCTCTTTCTCCTGGGGAGAAATGTGGCCTTGCCCTTCGTGGGAGACGTCAATATCCACTGAGGAAAGAGCCGTTGAAAGATGGAGCCGAGCTTGGCCTTGGTGTCTGAAGATGACTTTTCTGAGAACATCGCAGAGGTGCTCGATATCCGAGCGAGCGCAGCGGCCCGCAAGCTGGAGGATCAGAACGCGACAAAGCGACGGCAGATACTCGTTGATGGCAACCTGGACGGGGTCTGCCTCGCTGGGATCGGTTGTCAGGCTCAATACGCTCACCCAGAACTGCGAGGCAGAGCGGAGAGGAAGTGGTTCCGGACCTTGCAAGGACTGTAGAGTGAAATCTAGAATCGTCTGCAGCACAGGACGCCGCGATGTGCCGCTTTCGCCGGATGGTGGCGGCGCAGAAGTAAGCGCGAAGAGGACGGAATGGTACTTCGGGACCAGGCGAGTGAGGAAATCAATGCCACTGTTTGCAACTTCGGGGTCGTAAAATCCTGGCATCTCCTGCATCCGACAGATGCTTTCGTACACGTGGACAATCAAAGCGACGGTCTCCTCGCGGATATGCTCTGGGTGTGCACTGTGAGACGCTAGAAACGCAGAGGCAGTACCCATCACCATATCTGTACCCGCGCTGCCCAAAGGAATGCTTTTGACGAAACTGACAGTCACCATCGGCGGGAACACATACGGACCTGCTTTCTCAGTGAAGCCAGCCTTCAGTATATCACAGGCAGCCTCAATCGTGCTCGCATCCCTGGGAACTTCGGTCATTAGGAGCTGCATAGATTGAATAATCAAACTCTGAGCATCAGCGCCTCGACCAAAATTCCAAAAGGTAAGCGACTGGGAGTCGCCATTGCCGCTGTCACTAGGCTCCAGAACGACTTCGTTTTCTGTCCTGAGACCTTTACCAATACTTGCGATGCAGCGTAACACTAAAAGAGAGCGGCTGTACGCAGCATCAGACAAATCACGCGCGGCCTCATCCCGTGCCACTATGGCCTGTTGACGGAGATAATCCAGGATTCTCTCAAGGACCTGCGCTTTGTCCTCATCCGTAGGCAACGCTTGGATGATGGCAGCGATACCCTCCAGAACTTTCTCCATCGTCATGACTGTGGCGGTCGCTTTGTGACGAAATTGATCGAACTGATCTAGGAATACCGGGAGCTGAGAAGTCAAAGCATTACGGCACGATCTGCAGAGGTGAGCGATAGACTTGGAAGCAGTTGGCGCACAGGATGCGACATCAAGAGATGCAAACAGAAAAGTAAGCACCAGTGGGAGCAAAGCATGGGTACGCTCGAAGTAAGACTGGTATCTTCCTAGCATATCCACTAGCGTTTGGCGAGCTTTGTCTGGGATCGATATTCCTTCACCCCTGCAGAGATGAGCAAACTCGTCGCAAAAGAAGATTGCGTTCAAACAATCATCCGCATGCTGGTTGTCATCCACGGCCTCTGAAAGCTGAGCAATACAGAAGATTGCGGCCTCAAACGTTCTCCAATTCTGTTCTGCGAGAGAAGTCCTTGTGCGTTCTTGAAATACTCGAACTAGATCCACACCCAGAATGGGATAGACGGCCAGAATAAAGTCGCAAGCGTCACGGCGAAACGAACTGAATTCACTGCGATCATCATCTCTCCACTCTTGCAGCTCCTCTGGAGTCGGATACTTGAGCTTCTCGAAGCAATCCAGAGCAGCACGGGCAAGATTTTGCTTGGCAGGCTCAAAGTTAGATTGGTCATCTGAATCAGCGATAATCTCCTGGAAATCGTCGGCAACTTCAGTCCACCACTCGATGGCAAGCGGCGATGCCAAGTCATCCACTGCAGCATAGCCGGGGGCTTTCAACAAGGCGTGAAGTAAGGTAAGAATCTGATTGTATTGAGGGTTCAAAGGTTGAGTCAAAATTTCTCTCTGTTTGAGAGTCGAGAATGCCAGTAGGAGCTCCAAAAATGTCATATTCTCGGCTTCGAAATCGCCATCCAGAAGCGACTTAATATGGGCGGTACCAAAATCACTTATGATGAACGCCAGGACAGCATCGAGGTGATCTTGACCAAATATATTATCTCTCCAATCCATCATTTCGACAACAACCTGAGCTGCAGTTTTCGACAATCCAGGAACTTTTAGACATTGGACGACATGGTTTGTGGCTGACGTTAGCTGGGAGGCCGAAATCGTGTCTCGAAACAAGCTTCCACCTTGCACGGACATCCATGACTAGAACATAAGTGTCAGATAACCACGAAGATAGATGATGAAGAATGCAAGCCCAAGGTGAACTTACGCTGTACGCGTTGAGAGCTTCGATGCCCGGAGCAGGGTCATAGGAGTCCTGGGAAGCATCCTGCATGAGAAAGTGATGCAGAACAAACTCCACAACAACGAATGCATCCTCAATATTTTCAGCCGCGCGGCGAATATCGACCCCTTCGCGGAACTCAGGACTCCATTTATTGATGTCCTCTCCCAATACGTTGCAAAAATAGAGCAATGCAACGATCTGAGCTTGAGACATTGCCGGTAAGATAGAATTAAGCAAATCGACAGACCGAGCTTGGTTCTCAGGGACATACTTGCTGCCTGCTAAGGAAGCAGCTACGTTCCAGATAGCCCGAGTCCAAGGAGCACCCGGCTTCAGGAAGATGGTTGCCAGGGTTGTGGCCAGCTTTCGAATGACGAGAGGGCGCTCGCCTGAGTTGACAAGTACAGCATAGTGGCCAACCAACCGACCAAGAAGCTCTTCAACATCATGCTGGTTGAGTTTCTGCCTGCAACAATGTCAGAAAGCTGGACTCCACAGACATTTCGATTAGTCACATACCAGTCAAGGTTGATTTTGACGGTGAAAGTCAAGGCGCCAAAAAATCTCATATCAGTGCTGTTAGCACTGAGCAGATCATTAGCAATTAACCATGCCTCAGGACCTTTCTGAAGCGACTGCAAACGGTCCTGGATAAACTTGATCTCAGCGGGATTGCCTGCATTTTCTGGACTGTACAGTTGAGAGACAAGCTTGACAGGTTAGTCTTAAAATGTGACAAGTATTAAGGACTACACTCACCTCTCTTGCCTCATTCAAGATGTGCTGCACATCTGGAGCAAGGCCGTGAATGTCCGCAGACATGACCAGAACTCTGATGGCCCTCTTAAGAGAGCTGGGTCCTGGTATAGATTGTTTGACGAAATGATAAAGGAGAGTCACGTGTTGATACCACTATCACAAAAATGTTAGGCGGTGAGAAGGTGGGATGGATAGACGGGGAAGAATCAGAGGGGAAAATGGCTGTGTTTGTGGGCTTTCAAGAGGGGTAGGTAGATAGTCTACGTGAAGAAAACAGTGAATGTTCCGAGCATGTGACCTGGATGTATTTCAAGGCGTCTACTCCGTACTCCTTACCTATACAAGTGTTAGCTGCTAATGTTTCTATCCGGCCGCGGTGGGATATCAGATAGCACCACGTTGGTACTAGTTATACAGAAACATGCTCCGTGTCTAGTCTCCTTGCCTGATGGGACCAAAGGTACTCATTGCAGATGACGGAATTATGGTCTTTGGATAATTGGATCATTAAGGTAACTCTCCAGACCTACTGAGCCTTACTGCCTGGTACCCGGTACTTATAGGTAGTTTGGGTTGCTCCCAGAAATGCTGTAAATTACAGACGTACTATAATTTGCAAACAACATCAGGGCTCTGTACTACCGTAGGTAAGGTACGGAGTCCCACATCCGCAGTTGAAAGTGGAATACCACATTATTACGAACTACGGAGCACACCTATCTCAAAACTCCACTCGACTAGCTTATCTTGCTGGCCACATATTTCATTTTCATGTCAGTCAAGTAGTGTCGGCCCTTGTACAGTGTACACGCGACTCCAAAAATTCCATCTCATCTCCCAACCTTTCCCTTCCCCTCTGAACCCCCGCATTTTCGTACAATATTTGCTGTCGTGCGTCATCCGGATCGCTTCTGAGAATCTCGGGCAACTGCATTCTGACATTCCTGACATTTGCCTGTCGATGCTCGGTTTCCGCTCTCCAATTCGCCTTTGCAAGCTATCAGCTCTTGGATCAGCCCCTCTACTACCCATCTCTCGACCAAAGCTTTTCTCCACCGCTGTCGCACGCTACGCCGCCGATATGGAGACCGTGAATACCACCGAGCGCCTAGCGAGATTGAGGCAGTTGATGCAGGAACATAAGGTCGATGTATATAGTATGATATCGCATAGCCCCTCTTGTCGTTCATGATACAAATAAGAACTTCACTCATACTTTGCTTAAGTCGTTCCATCGGAAGACAGCCACCAGTCGGAATACATCGCTCCCTGTGACGGCCGCCGAGGTTAGATCTACCCGTGAACCTTCCCTTATGTAGCTGCTTGTTCATATGACGACCGCGGGACAACCCTGGACTTACAACCGCACCCATAGAGTTCATCTCTGGCTTCTCCGGATCCGCGGGAACGGCCATCGTGTCTATGACCAAGGCCGCCCTATCGACGGACGGACGATACTTCAATCAGGCTTCCAAGCAACTCGATAGCAATTGGGAGCTGCTAAAGAGAGGAGTTGAGAATGTCCCCACTTGGCAAGAATGGTAGGCATTTTGAAGAATGATTCATTGAACCCTGAAATGGGAATTGACCCTTTTGTTCAGGACGACCGAACAGGCCGAAGGGGGCAAAGTCGTTGGAGTCGACCCATCTCTGATCACGGCTTGTGAGTGACAAGCGATGCCATATATCATATCCGAATTTTGATTACTGAAACGATATAGCGGGCGCACGGAGTCTTGAAGAAACTTTAAAGAGGAACGGCTCATCGCTGGTCGGTATTTCGCAGAACCTGGTCGACCTGGTTTGGGGCAAAGACAGACCGGCACCTCCGCGAGAGAAGGTCAGGGTTCATCCGGATAAGTTCGCAGGAAAGACTTTCCAGGAGAAGATTGCGGATCTGCGCAAGGAGCTGGAGAAGAAGAAGACAGCTGGATTCGTTATATGTACCGCGACCCGACCCTCGAGCCTGAAACCAACTGCAGTATTGATGGCTAACAAGGAGCCTAGCTATGCTGGATGAAATTGCCTGGCTCTTTAACCTGAGAGGAAGCGAGTAAGCATCGCCCACTCAAACTTGACTTCGTTCAACTAATAGATGATAGCATTCCCTACAATCCAGTGTTCTTCGCATACGCCATTATTACCCCTACAAAGGCCGAGCTTTACATCGACGATGACAAGATCACCCCAGAAGTTGTAGCTCATCTCGGTCAGGACGTCGTGATCAAGCCATATAACTCTATCTTTGCAGACGCTAAGGCACTCAGTGAAGCAAGAAAGCAAGAAGCTGGGGAAACAGCCTCAAAGTTTCTCCTGTCCAACAAAGCATCATGGGCGCTTAGCCTCAGCTTGGGAGGCGAGGAGCATGTGGAGGAGACCCGGAGTCCTATTGCCGACGCTAAAGCTATCAAGAATGAAGTAGAGCTTGCGGGTATGAGGGCTTGCCATATCCGAGACGGTGCCGCGTTGATCGAATACTTTGCGTGGCTTGAAAACGAGCTGGTCAACAAGAAGACTGTTCTTGATGAAGTGGATGCCGCAGATAAGTTGGAGCGGATCAGAACCAAGCACGATCTCTTCGCTGGCCTTTCCTTCGACACTATTTCTTCAACTGGACCTAATGGCGCCGTTATCCACTACAAGCCAGAGAAAGGCACTTGCTCCATCATTGACCCGGATGCTATTTATCTTTGTGACTCTGGGGCTCAGTATCTAGACGGAACCACGGACGTCACGAGAACGTTTCATTTTGGAAAACCCACGGAGCTTGAGAAGAAGGCTTTTACCCTGGTGCTCAAGGGTCTGATTGCCATTGATACTGCTGTCTTCCCCAAGGGCACTAGTGGCTTTGCACTCGACGCTCTTGCCAGACAGTATTTGTGGAAAGAAGGACTGGATTATCTTCATGGCACAGGCCACGGCATTGGCTCATACCTGGTTAGTGCAAACAATCTGCGTTCGCTGCTCATCCAACACCTCTGACATCTTGGCAGAATGTGCACGAAGGCCCTATCGGGATTGGCACTCGCGTACAGTACACTGAAGTCCCCATTGCCCCCGGTAACGTCATCTCAGACGGTAGGTCGTTCACACTCGTCATTGTGGCTCGGGACTAACTGTCATAGAACCTGGATTCTACGAGGACGGCAAGTTCGGCATTCGAATTGAGAGTGAGTCTCTGTCTCTCGGGCAGATCGTAAGGAGGCTAACAGCATATCCTCAGATGTCATTATGGCGCGGGAGGTACAAACAACGCATAAATTCGGTGACAAGCCATGGTTGGGCTTTGAACATGTCACAATGGCTCCCATTGGCCGCAACTTGATTCAACCATCCCTGCTCAGCGACCTCGAGCTCAAGTGGGTGAACGACTATCACGCAGAGGTCTGGGATAAAACGCATCATTTCTTTGAGAATGATGAGTTCACTCGAAGCTGGCTTCAGAGAGAGACTGCACCCATCACTAAATAGATCTGAGCTGATCTCAAAAGATAGCCCACGTGGCTTTAAATAGCAGCGTTCAATAACATATTCTAGAATTCATTCTGGTGATCACATAGAGCTACATCATAATGCCTGTCTGTCATTAGAATGATGAACGTAGGATACCCGTTTCAGTGGATGTGTGTAGCCATTCCCAGACGTGGCTTGTCGATGCTGGGAAAGCTTGTGTGGGGAAATCAGGCGGATGCGACTTGTGAGCTGCGGACTCAGACCTTGGGCCTCTTCAAACAATCACATTCCGTACCGTGCGCTTTTGTTGCGATTGTCTGAATAATAACCTCCTAACTTCCATTGCTGAACGCTTCAATCTTATGCCCCTCTTATAGATTTCGGATTAGCAGTTTTAAGAACGATCATGATTGCTTTCCCCACCGTTTGATGCCCTGCGACATCACCAAGAATCGAGAGACCAATTGACAGCTCCTCCGCGTATCTATTCCTGTCGTCGCCTTTTTGATCCGCCACTCTCGGAAATTAGCACTCCTACCTCTCCCCTGATAAATCCTCTGGTATGAACGGCAGAAACGGTTACGCCGACGGATACGGATATTCCGAAAGCAATCGATACGATCGGAGTGATGGCGGATACGGGAGCAGCAACAGCAACTTAGCTGTCAATGGGTATTCAGGGGGGAGAGATCGTCGTCCGGGTGGATATGGTGGTTTTTATAACGAATCCTCGCAAGAGCCTTCACCTTCAGCCTCACCGGAGCGGCGCCGAGAGAGATGGGAGGGGGACCGCCAGAACTCCTCGTCGCGATCGCGCACACGGGACACAGACGCTGAAAGGAGGCCGCCGGGGTCGCGGGATGGCCGAGCACGGGGAGAGACTAGCTGGGTGGCCAGCAGCAGCAGCGTCGAGAGGAGTGGTCCTGAGAGTGCCAAACCCGTGAGCAGTGGTGCGGGGTCTGAAGCTATGGAAGGTTTGCTGGTCCATTCATCCTTTTTCTTTTACCTACTTAAATGAACGGGACTTGTCTGTATGGTGGATCTGGATGGTTGACGTTTGTTCTTTCAGATATCCTTCAGGCGATCCAACGCGACTGGGGCTTCGTAGCTTCCGACGATTGTGTACCGGTGCAGGTGGCATTGCAGTTGATGGACACGAGTACATTGGGCAAAGCAGATCGCGAGCCTGATTTCCTCAATATGAACCAGCAGATTCAGAAGACTTTAAAGTCTGTCGTCAATGGTGGGTCGTCCCATCAGATCATTGTCAGACCAATACTGAACATAGTGATCAGAGCATCACCAGGGATTTAACAGTTCCATTGGTACATACCACAAGATCCAGTCCAATATACAAAGCTCGCAGAATCGAGTCCGAAATCTAAAACATGCGCTGGAGAACGCCAAAGCTGGATTACTCTATACGAAGCCCGAGTTGAAGGGACTAGCGACGTCTTCCCAGAAATACGATGACTTAATCCAGCTTTTCAGTCAAATCCAGGAAATACAATCTCTGCCTGAAAAGCTAGAGTCCCGAATATCCGACAAGCGATTCCTTGGTGCTGTCGAGGTGCTTCACGATGCCTTCCGACTGTTACGGCGCTCCGAGCTAGAGAATATCGGAGCACTGGCAGACATACGCGCCTACTTTGCGAACCAAGAAATATCTCTGACTGATATCCTGATAGAAGAGTTGCATGATCACTTGTACCTCAAATCTCCCTATTGCTCCAATCGGTGGAAACCGCCAGCGCAAGAGGGAGAAGTTGGCACCGCAAACGCCTCCAGCTGGACTGGAGTAGCAACCTGGGAAAAACCTGTCTACGCCTTTCTTGGGAAGCTGGACGCCACTACGCCACTGGTAGAGGACGCGTCTCGAAACCCGGAGGCTGACACGTTTTATTATATCCGACTTTTAATTGAGGCGCTGAACAAGATGGGCCATTTGGACATAGCGGTTGACCGCATTGAACAACGACTTCCAGTTGAACTATTTGCAGTGGTCGATAAGACCAATGCAGAAGTCGACGCGCGTCATCCAAATTTGGGCCGGGGCCTCTCATCCCGGGATGGCAAGACCAGTCTGCCAACAGAGGCCATTGAGAAACGCGGACATGTTTTGACGGAGTTCTTATGGACTCTATATGCCAAATTTGAAGCTATTGCTGAAGGTCACCGTGTCCTCCACGATGCCATTGCCGGAATTGTGGAGCGCGAGGGTATTCCCAAGAACAGTTCACTCACAGGTGGTTTCAAAGAATTGTGGAAGCTCTATCAGAGTGAGGTCAGTGGTCTCCCTAGATTTGGCTTACACCTTCTCAATGCAGTCTATCTCACAGTTTCTATAGATTCGTTCCCTGTTGCACGATTACCTGGCCACCGATGGAGAGTCCTCCTTCAGATTTAGAGAAGAAGAAGCCGATGCTAAACGTCAAATCCATGCTGGTCATAGGGATAGGAACAAGGTGCGTCTGCTTAGGACACGTCTAGCCATGGCCGATTCTTGTTGACACTTCACAGAAATTGTTTAAACTTTCCGAAACAGAGCAAAACACGGAAATGCAAGCGGAACAAGACGAGTTGGATGAGATCCTCAAGACGTCGGTTCCTGGTTTAGTATCGAAAACCAGGCAGAAATTCACGACGACAGACAGCTCACGAGACGGGCAAGGAAATTCCGGAACCGGTCATAAGATACTCATTGAACCCAGCGTGTTCAACATGAGTCTTCTTCTTCCGCCTTCCTTATCCTTCATACAACGATTGAAGGACATAGTGCCTGTGGATGCAGACATTGCTCTGAGCACTTTGACGTCCTTTTTGGATGACTTTCTCGTCAACGTATTTCTTCCCCAACTGGATGAGACAGTCACAGATCTCTGTAGTCTTAGTTTCATCGCCCCAGACGCGTTCACGGAAGATCCTCAATGGTCAAAATCCTCCCCTCGGCCAGTTTTCAAGGCAAGTATTTGCGTCGTCATATCGTCCATGTTGGTCTTTCCTAATCTCAAATACAACAGGGCACTGTCAAATTCATGTCAATCATATGGGAGTTTAGTAAAATGCTGTCCAGCATTCCGCATGATCAGGCCTTCACACAGCTTCTAATTAGCCAGATTGTGACCTACTATGACAAATGCTGTGGGTGGTACAAAGGTTAGAAGAGCCACTACGTTCCAAGTTGATAGTCCAATGGCTCATATATCTGTCCAGCTATTGTCACGAAGGTCTCGCCTCGCAATCACGGTCAAGTCCGCCTCAAGGCCGCAGCAGAGTTTGCCGAATTTGGTGATATTCATGATACAGTTCGGGATCTCTGGGAGAGGCCAGCAGACGCTAAGAAGGAACTCATCGATAAGGTGGATACTCTCCCCTCTTCTGCCCGTCTTCGAACGTCGGATCAGCCGCTGATTATCCTAGGAAATCGAGCTTCTGCTCAAACGCACAGACGAGGTATCGTTAGAGCCGTACGACATTATATCCGATCCCAAAACAGTGGTCGCACTGTCACTTCTCTACAATAGCATGGTAATATTTGTCACAAACTCCGTATGGTCCATTGCCTTCGAAGCCTGGCTGACTCTTTTTTAGCAATGGCTTGCAAGCCACCTTGCCAAGCTGCGCCGAATCACAGCCTCAGAGTCACGGCAGCCACAGCCTGAGGCTAGAGCACCTCCTCGTCGGTGGACCCTGATTGGGGCCATGAAATCGAGGCGTGACAGCATAAGTCAACCAGTGTATCTGCCGCTGAATCATGAAACGGCCAACGCGTTTGACACCACTCTTCAATCGCTGCGTAATCTGGCCTCGACCGCGCTCTTTGCTCTTCACATTGATATCCGATGCGGCGTCATTCACATGTTGACCCGTACAATGGCTGGCCCCAATCCCCCGAGCAACCGCGATTCGGAACCCACGACACCATCACCGAACTCGAACATGAATTGGTGGCATATCCTTGTAAATCAGCCGACAGCCGCATCTCCCACGATTCTCGAGCTGAACAATGACTTGATCGCCTTTGATACGAACATTTCGTCATATCTCGGCCCCGCTGAACACTGGTTCATCACCTCGGGTCTTGCTCGATTTATTGATCAAGCATTCGTCTCATCTACACGTCATATTGGAGCCATGAATGAGAATGGAGCCTTGCGGCTGCAACTTGACGTCCTCGTTTTACAGCAGAACCTCAAGAATATAATTGTTGACCCGACAGCTGAAACAGCCCAGGATTCCACGACAGAGGAACCAGGGAATCCTGACAAGGTCGTTGCACTTCCGCGTAGTGCCAAATTCCTTGACTGGTTCTTGGATGGTGCGGAAAAGACATTGGAGTACGCCAAAGATGAAAAGGAGCTGTTCGCTGCGCAGGGCGACAAGGCATTAGCGGCAGGCAATGGCGAACCGCTCACCTATGATGAGCTCAAGGTCCTTATTGACCTTTGCTTCTCAGAAATTCTCAGAGGACCTCGTGGAGCCGAAAATCGGGAAGATTTTATGACTGCGAAGAAAGCCAGTGCCGATGCGCTCCTGAAATTGAACGAAATCATGTGGGATTCCAAATGATCGTCTTGGATTTTCTGATGAGATCCTTGAGCTGCCTTGCTTATCTGCTAACTATTGTCCTCTTTCTGATCTATACCCTTTCTTGTATCATTCCTCCACGCTGGCGCAAGACTACTCTTAGATAGACATTTGACGAATCGATCAAGCGTCATGTCCATGAGGACTGAGGATAGAGTTTAATATCCATCACTAGGCTGAAGTGTAATTCAGCGTAGACTAGCTAGTAGTGGTATGTATACTCCGTAGTATTTCCTCAATGAGCATATTGCAGCCACCAGAGCAAGACACAAGGGACAGTTTAGAGAGAATGGCAACATTAGAATCAAGAAGGAATTCAATCGTACACATAAACACATGTAGTTTTTTATATCAGTATTTTGTCGCTTTTGACTTGTAAGAACATTGCGGACAGCCCAAACCACACCTGTTACAGCTACACTGCGGTTACTAGAATGGGCCTTCTCCAAGTCAACTGCTGGTATACTGCGATATCCTGAGACTCTCGTCGTTTTGTAGATGTTACGAATGATGATTGGAGAAGGTCGTGCTCTTTGAGCACTGCAGTCTATGGTCTAGGCTCATGTTCAACCGTTACGCCGGATTCACGGGATCAGTTTACGGAGTACGTCTGTTTGAAACGGTGTTAGAGTGTATGGGAATGGTTCAGTAAACACATAGGGAACTATTGACCCCTAAACCACCCCAGCAAATCTCTTCTTAGCCTAGAAAGAGTCATCTGGACGGCCCGGGCTTAATATCGCTTGCTATAAGGCGGCGGGAGTCTGGAGAAGCCCCTAGTGGCGTAGCCAAAACTCTCAGAAAGACCTTCAATCTGTCTACCTTTTCATGCTGAATTTGCTTGGTGTGGTAAGGTCACGGCTTACATCAATTATTCCAGACCCATCTGGTGGATCTTGAAGGACAATCATACCAGTAAAGGCAGTAGACAAGGGTGTCTTCGCGACGCAGAATGTATCCGATGAGATACTCGTCCCGAGGAAAGCCGCTCGGTCTCTTTGAGGGGTCCTGAGACAGAAGGCCCATTCAATCTGCTGCAAACCAGTGAAGTTTGGCGCATATGGATGATGTATCGCAGTTAATCTGATCTCTTCTCCAAATCGGGATAGGAGATTCGAATCCACCGAACACCAGTACGGATTGTTTGTCCCCGCAGGCTTTGCCAAATCAGATGAACAGTATCACATTGAGATCTCGAGGCATTGAATTGTCCTGCTGCTATCGTTTTTCTACCGTCTACCGAATTTGTGCCGGTTGTCTACGATGGGCTAGGCCAGCCGTTTAATTTCCAGGGCCAGAGCTAAGAGTCAAAGTCTGTGGAGCCCTTCGTTCAATGCTATGCAATCAGGCAAAAGAACGGACCATTCCCCTGCTTTCAGTCTCTCGGCTGGGTTCCGGATCGCTGACCCTTAGCAGGTCCGGGAGGTTCGGTTGCGTGCAATCCACGCCGGACGTTTCAGACTTTACGATTCATTCCGTTAGCAGGCCGTGGCTTTTAACCCAACAAACGCCTGGACGTCCTAGGGCTTCTGATTCATTACACGTTTTGCGCTAATGCCTACATTCATCTAGAATTGTTCATCTTATTATATTGCGTTAAATTATTGTTTCACAATCGGGTCCCTTTCACTGTCAGGCAATGGCCGGTCATTCAGCCCATGGAGGAGGACACTACTGTCCCTCGTTTTCTTCTTGATTGATATATCCTTTAAGTCCTCTCTTTTCCTTACTCTCTTTCTTTGCACTGCTCTTCAAGTCAATCTTTCAGTTTTCTGTCTGGAACAGCAACTACATTCGTTTCCGCGATCTGAGCCCAGGTCTCCATTCATTGCTTGCAACAGGAGCAGAGTCTCCAGTCAATCCTTTGCACCTGAAGTAGTCTAGTACAGACTTTGCACTCTTTTCTTCCTCTCTAGCTTCAACGGCTTCAAGACATATCAACATCCAACAATGTTATATCAGCGTCTCACCACTCTAGGCGTTGCCGCTCTGGTCGCGGCCTCATCGGTCTCTGCGAGCCCTATGGTCGGGGGCGCTAAATCTCGCTGTCGTGCCGGGTACAACAAGGCCGTCTCCCACGTCCCAACAACCCATGAAGCAACTCCGTCCATAAATCCCCCAGTGGAGCTCTCAGAGGCTCCATCCCAGTCCCCCTGGCCCACTGTCGATAGCCCTTCTGCTGCTTCCATCATACCCACTGTAGATGAGATCACCCATGTCAAGAAGCCCCAGGCTGATGAGGATCCTGATGCTTCCTCTTCTTCTTCGTCGTCGTCAACGACATCTGCACTGCCCTCTTCTCCCGCTACCCAGCAACAAGACACCGTTCCGGCAGCCCCTGCTGAGCCTGCAACAGCCGCTTCCCAGACCAACAACAAGGCGGCCGCTGCTGCATCTTCCTCCAGCAGCACCACCCACTCCGGCAAAGCCACCTTCTACGGCGGCAACATCTCCGGCGGAACCTGCTCGTTCACCGGGTACACGCTTCCCTCTGGCCTCTTCGGAACTGCCTACTCAGGCGCCGCATGGAACAACGCCGCGGAATGCGGTGCCTGCGTCTCCGTGAAAGGACCCAACGGTAAAACCATCAAAGCAATGGTACGTCTTCTCTTTTCGTGCGAATCATATCATACACAACCCAGCTAACATCACCCACCCAGATCGTCGACCAATGCCCCGAATGCGAACAAGACCACCTCGACCTCTTCCAGGACGCCTTCACCCAGCTAGCAGACGTCTCCAAGGGCATCATCCCCATCACCTGGTCCTTCGTCCCTTGCGGGATTACCTCGCCCGTCGTCCTCAAGAACAAGGAGGGGACCTCGCGCTACTGGTTCTCCATGCAGGTCATGAACGCCAATGAGCCCGTCGCGAAGCTCGAGGTTAGCACCGACGGCGGGAAGACCTGGCAGGGGACCACGAGAACCTCCTACAACTTCTTCGAGGAGAGCAGTGGGTTTGGGCAGGATACCGTGGACGTGAGGGTGACCGGCCAGTCCGGCGCTACCCTGACGGTGAAGAATGTCGGGACCAGCTCTGGGTCCTCTGTTACCGCTAAGTCGAATCTGTAGAGTGCAGAGTAGATAGTGGCGTGGGGATGGTGCGAGTAGGTTTTTTGGCCCTCAGTTGTCGCGGAAGAGCAGTTTGTTTTGGGACAGTACCCTGTCTGCATCTCATATGCGCCTTTACTTTCTCTTCTCCGTAGATTTTTGGACAATTCAGACATATTCTGACGTTTTCATTCCCATCACGGAGACCAACTGATCAGCGTGGCTGTGTCTTGTAAGATTGCCTTAAGATTGCCTCACGTGCTAAGCTTGTCATTGACGACTAGGGAGCCGAATCTTCCATGAACAGCGTTTTGTCATTTGACTTTCGGAGAACAAGATCGAACTACGAAATGGCCATTGTGTAAATCTGAGAGATCGAATTGCAATTCCCATAACGCGATATCGTAGGCTCCATTCCCAACCCTGGTTTCGCCGACCCTTAAGATAGAAAAAGTAACACACAGGAGTAAAAGATACGCGGAAGAAGGCAGACGACGGAAACGAAAAATCACGAAGCGCCGGAAAAACGACTCCGGGCTGGACAAATTAAGGTTGTAGATCATTGGTCACCTGTCTTCTTCCAGAGGCGGTGACTTGATGCAAGACATCAGAAAAAGATCAACACGGCACCTGCAACCACGCCCAAATCACGGCTTCTCGCAGGGTCTCTTAGAATGGGATGAAACTGAAAACGAACTAACGGAGACAAAGAGCAGGTATGTTGGAATCTCAGCCTCCGAACAAGAACAGATCGTAGCACATGTATGACCATGAGATAGAGAAGCAAAGGGAAAGTCATCTATCCAGAAACGCAACTCGGCCTTCAGACCTGACCCTGATCGACCTCAAGCGGCTCGAGCTCTTCGGCGTCGTTGTAGTCGTCGAACTCGAGACCTGCGTCGCGACAGCGCTGAAGCCACTTCTGTGCGATATCTCCACGGCGGTTGACTTCTAATTTCAACTTGGAATTCTGAGCGCTGATCTCGTTGATAGCATGACTTGTAGTCATGTTGTTTTGCTCCCATCGTTCACTCATCGTTTTCTTCTCATCATGCAGCTGGCAGATGTACTCGATTGTACGCTGTAGGATAGCGCCTTTGTTCTTGTCACAGTTGGGGACCAGACGCGCTAACTGATTAATACCCTCGTTGATAGCTTCACGACGCCGACGTTCCACTGAAATCGAATTAGCTTAAATCACCCCATAAAACAGCTGCCGCAGCTTACCCTCTTTGTGATTGTTCTTGCGAATTTGGTGCCACTCAGGAGAACCAACGGACGGTTTTTGATTCATACTCTGGGCTTCGCGCGCAGCGTAGACAGCTGCGGCGGTCGAATTGTGTCCATGAGTAGGGCCCATAGCCTGACCCATATCGTCGCCGAACGTCAACCCGTGGGCGAGATTATTGGCGTCGAAAGAAGGTTCGGGGGGAGGCGGATATTTGTTCTGAGGATTGTGCGCGGCCAAAGCGGCTTTAGCAGTCAGAGCGTTCTCATCAGAGATACCGTTCTGTGGTCCGACATGTTGGAGGATTTGCTGGTCAATGTTGAGCTCCGAAGTAGAGGTAGGGAGACCGTGCGCATCATAGGAAGTAAGAGAGCTGTGTGCGAAATTGTTCTGAGCATCCGCGCCAGGCATGCTGCCACTACTTCCATTGGAAGAGCGGTTCAGGCGCTGAGGATCCGGGCCCGCGCTGTCATCACCTTCGCGCTTGCGCTTGTTTGTGATATTGCTATCCGGGGCACCCAACGATTGGTCAGACATGATGTAGGATGTGGTGTGGTCACCCTGCAGGTTGGCCAAGTCAGCATCGGCCATGATAGTGTGTATCAGGTGACCAAACCCACCCTTTAGACAGAGCAGATGTATTGATTCGAGATAGGTCTCCTCAGACAGCTACCAAAGGAGGCGTAGCATAAGGAACTTCCCTGCGGTTTAGGTTTGTGAGTCGGCAAGCCCAGTAAATAATGAGTGTAATAGTGAGGAAATCAATAATGCAAGGCTATGAGAAAGACAAAAGAGAAAATTCTCTCGTGAGTGAACATCCACCAAAAGGAAAGACATTGATGTGCTGAGAAGTGAGAAGTGAATATACTAAGACGCGTGAGCGAGGCTGGACGCGCTGGTCTCCGCACCATAGCATCATAACAGACATTGGATGACTATCAAATCCAGGAACATGTAATACACAATTATATTGATTCCATCAATATGCGCCAAAGACAGTTGATGCGCAACCCATCAATCAGAAAACAAACCCTCATGGTCGCACAGTCGACATCGACATCAGAAACGCGTCATGACGGCTCTGCGACCGAGGTAACAGGGGAAGAGAGGATAGCATCACAAAATCAACCTCATCCGGCTCCCGGCGGACGAGGCTGAGGTCCAGAGAGGGGCATGGTGAGATGCTTCTGGGGCCTTATTGAAGCTTCTGATATAGTGGAGTATGGCAGAGGGACGATGCAATGATTGATAGTCGCGAATAGAAGGAGTGAGCTCACTGTACCTTGGGATGGTCTGTCTATCACCTGACAGCAAGTCACCTGCCACGGGCAACAACAAGAGGCAGGTATATCGTAGTTCGATCGCGAAGACCAATAATCGAATTTGATCGCGAGGAAATACTCAATATGAAAACGTCCAATGTAAAGACAACGGACGGACCGGAATAGAAAACGAACAGAAAGAAGTGGCGGCTTTTACAATAGAAAGAAGGGATATTGGAGGAGTAGAGTCGAGTAGTAGAGAGAAGCGCTCACGTGGCGAGGGACAAATAATGGGAGCAGAACAGTCGAGGCGGCGGTGGTCCGGTAAGGCGTAACGACCAGAAGCGTAGAAGAGTCACCTGACTTCGGTCGTCCAAGAACCAGCAGAATGGTCTTTCGTTGTCTCCACCGGAACTTCCCCTTCATTAACAGCAAAGGGAGTCAACTCCTGTCTGGCATTCAATATCTCTCCCATTAGCGGTCTCTTTTACTACCCTCCCTCTTCGTTCTTGGATGTCATGTGCTCCAATCCCGTGCCCCCTCCTCTGCCAATGTCCGTCTTCTCATCGCTGATTGGTTGCGCGATTACCCTGGGCGGTTGCCGGAGGAGGGGTTGACCCGGGATCACGTGTGACTCTTCAGTCTGTGGCTATTTCTCACCAAATCAACATAACAACAGTCAAACAATTGTGCGGAAGTTTCCTGGTTATTTGAGGAACATAATGGGCACATGGTGGATACCATGTCTTATCTACCAGATTTAGTGAATGCACTGACTCCCGGCCGCTTGTCAACCGTCACTATTGGTCTAAAAGACAGATACCATTCATACCTTTTGTACCTTCACTTCCTTCAGTGCTCATCCCGGTCGGGCCGACCCTCCTTTAGGGTCCTGGTAGGGAGCACGGTCCATCTGGAGAACGCCATCGTACAGTAGCGGAATGTACGCCAATGCATGCCATGCCTTCCCTTATCTCTGACGGTCTCTGTCTCTCGGGTCTCGACCGACGCTGCGTAGTTGCAGATCCTCAGATACACACACAATCGAACTTGCTTCACACCTGATATCTGTGGCCTATGCTAGTTCAGTTATGCCCATCTGCAAAAACTAGTCAGTTTCGGTTTGCCTCAAATACGACTCCATCTGACCTTTTGTGTCACATGCACATCCGGATTACAATCAAACTTTCCCACTTGAAGCGGATGGTGCTTTCCGCAGTGTCGATCAAAAGTCTTCAAGCTTACTTTCGAAGATCATTTTGCTCTAGTTTCCCTCTGAAGGTTGCATTGATTCTAATACGCCTCCCTTGTTTGGCTTGATGGCAGACCGTCTGATAGATTGCAGATCAATCGGTCATGAGATAGGCCGTCATCGCCGCCATCCGGGTCCGTCCAAGTAGGGTATGGACGCCAGTCTCGCATCGGTAGGTAGCACTAATCTGTTCTCTCAAGGGGCTGGCATAGATGAATCTCTCGCTCATACTTGTCTAGATGGATCTGCGAAAGCAGTAGATTCTCATATTCGTGGTCTAGGAATGGTGCCTTCCAATGTCACATGGTTCTAGGAGGAGAATGATTATCAACCGTTCACATGATTGCTGCCGGTTGTGGCAAGGTTAACCCTATCGACTTTTCGGGCAGCTTCACATCAAAGAGAATCAGATATGCAGAGATTGGTGTGTAGATTCGACAGTTTTGATATCGTATCAAGTATACCAACAAATCGAGCAGTCAGAGTCGAAAGCATTTAACCAATGTGAAAGTCCTTCTCGCCAATGCTCAACAGTAGATGTCTCATCATGTACACCAGCAAATACCCCAGATTGTATACTTTAGCGCGACAAAAGAGGCTGCAACCCTCACGTCTGCGACTTCTTAACCAATCCAAACACCGTCTTCGGATCAGCTGTAGTATCAGCAAAGCAGATACCCTCTGTCGTCGCACCCAGTATATCCCAGCAAAGGATCTTCACATCGAACGGTAACTCATCCCCAGCAGCATCGCCCTCCTGCACCACCCCTGGGCGCTGTGTAATAGCGATAATCGCGCTCGTCCCCACATAGCGCACCGATCCCTCCTCTCCACACCTATTGCCAAACACAATGACAATCTTCTTTTCTTTTGCACCTTCGGCGTCATGGCCATCAACTCCCAAATCAACATCGTGCCGCATCTTCTGCCTGACTAGAGGCCAAAATCTCTGTACCCAGTAATTAAACGTATCCAAATCCGGCTTATCAGCCAGCGCATCCAGCTCCTCCCGGCTCATAAATGTCGTCCAGGCCATCGACAGAATAACCAGCTGGGACCTGGAGTCGAGGACCCGATTCGCAAACTCCCAAGCCGTGAAGGGCGCCTCAAACTTATACGGGTTGATATCCATACATATCCCAAACGAAGTAGCCACCCTAGACGTCAGCACATCTCCTCGCTCAGCGGAACCATTGTTAAAGACAAGCTCGTGGAAGCCTCGGTCCGCCAAGCCTTCAGACGCCCACGTCTCATCCGTGAAGTAGAGAAACGTCTTGCGGTAATTCACCAGCACCTCCCCCTCTTCACTCACAACAAGCAAGGAATTATAGTACTTCTCCTGCGGTTGCGCGCGACTCTCCTCGTCTGCTGTTACTTCAATCTCGGGATACCCCACGCAGACCTTACACCTGAGACGCGTAGCCGTCTCGCGTGCCCACGCAGCTGATACGCCCTTCCCCGCCGGCTCAAGGAACGGCCGAATGGCTTCCAGCGAGGGGAAATTGTACCCTAGCCAACAAGAACATGTCACCATTTACTGATCGGATAGGGGCACCACACCACAAAACCTAAGGTAGAGTTCCACTGCCCCCTCTTCCTAGGTACTGGTACTCACCCGTCAGAGCCAGTTCCGGCAATACCAGGAGGTCAGGCTTCAGGCTCTCGATCCCAGTCGCATAGCCGCTGTTCAGCAATTCGTTGGCCCGTTTGATGTTGCCCTCGACGTCGCCCACCCTAGGGGCGAATTGTAATGTGGCGATTCGCATTCCTCTATGTTGGAGTCTAGATACCTGTGCTGCGCACGAGAGAGTGATTGCCTTCCTGGCTCTTGTCAGAGCCGAGGTGGTAGTAAGATGCCTGGTCAAAGAGGAAGAGGCGAAATGCCGTTGGAGTAGTCCAACATCAAAAATACTGTGGACCTTGATTGGGAGAATTGTGCAGAGTTATCGACTTAACTGTCCATTTCTGGGCAGTCAAGTCAGCAAGATAACTTAGATATATTTTATTTTGGAAGTTCTCAGTTACAACATGCGAAAGGACAATACAATACATCCGCCCATTGAAAACCGAATATGAGATCATGTGACTCAGATACCTGAGGCACCAGCACAATCCCCTAGTCATCGTCTCCATCTAGTCGACTCTCAGTTCTATGTTTCTCGGTGCGTGAACAAAGATTTCGTTGCGAAAATGTAGGGTATTCTTATAATGCAGTTATGTACGACACACACTTCCAGGGCCCGATTGCTAAACTCCAAATGTAGCAGATACATCCCTTAATAAAAGACCAAAATCCGCAGAAAACGCCGTCGCATAATGCAATCGAGATGATAGCTGACAAAAAAGAATACAGCAAAACAGAAGATCGCCGTGGGGTTTAGCAGGCGTTTTCACGCCTCAAAGCTGCAAGGGGGAAAGTGAGCCTTCGAGATTATGGAGTGGTGAGTCCTGAGGACAACACCTATTTCTTGCCGGCTCCTTTGCTTTTCTTTTCCGGTGTAAAGTTCAGCGGCTTATATGCTAGGCCCTTCCCCCCGGTAAGACGAATTCTCTGTTCCGTTCGGGACAGGGTACGTCCTAGTCCCAAGTCTCTATCCGGGGCGAGAGCAACATCGTATCCATTGACTTGGTATGAATTCGGCGACTGACTTCGGGAGAAAGAGTGCGAAGATGAAAAGCTGCTGCGCGGGCTGAAAACGGAGCTTCGAGGCTCAGGGTATGTCGGCCAATGGTCGAGAAGCCTGGGCCCGCTCCTAAGTGACTCTGCGGCAATTCGGGCAGCGGAAAGAAGGAGTTCATCTTCGTCAACTTGGCGAGGCTTTGGAATTTCAGGTTCCTCCTTCTTTGCAGGCTTTCGAGCTGTCATGGCCTCAATCTGTTCCAATATGGGAAGTTTGGGAAGAGGTTTAATTGAAGACAGTGCCATAGACACTTTGCGTGGAGTAGGAGCTTCGGGTTTGGCTATTTTGGGTGCCTTTGGCTCGCTCTGTTTCAGTTCTTGTTCATCTTCTTCGTGAAGAATGCGCTTGCGACTTGTCGAGAGAGTTTGTCGCCTTTTATCGGCCGCTTCTTTCAGG